CTTGCCACTCGTTGTATTGCAATCAGTGCAATGAACCAGGAGAATAATTCAGTCATAAACCGTCAGGAAACCAACCATTAACTAGGCTTCGCCGAAGCTGCGGTGATTCGATGCTACAAATCCGGATGAATCACTGGATCATGCCTACAGTCCTAGTACTTTTATCCAACCCGTTGCAAAGTCCAATGACCTTTGCACGTTGTAATGTTTTCACTGACCTGTGCATTCGTTCGTCAAATCACCCTTCCGTTATCCTCTCCTAACCTTGGTTCTGGCTACATATAAACAGCTGGCGGGATGTGCGAAATAACTGAACTAAATCTATCCCGTTATGGTGATTCTCCTTGCTCCCATGAACAAAAAAACAGTCCGAATGAACTAAAAGTCAGGTTGGTTACAATGTTTCAATCCCCTCGGAGAGCCTTTCTCAAGCTCCATAGAACAGTGCCACTGTCTGACCTTCACCCAATTCGGCCATAGCAGATCAAAACGTTTTCGAAGTCTTCGTCTCTTTATCCAGTCACCGGGCACTTGGCCTGCATACGTAACCCTGTATTGCAGTAAAAACGTTTCCAGTCTTGTTTGTAGAGGATCTGTGTACACCTAGCGTTGATTTTGGCTTTATATTTATCACAGATTCTAACAGTGCCATGCGGTTTCATTATTCCAACAATCGGTGTAGCCCATATTGTAGTCCATATTGTAATCGGTTCATTTCTTCTTCGAGCTTTGGACGCATCAAGTAATGCAATGACCGAGCCTTCAGGAAACGCAACTGTTCCCGATGAAACGTAACTATTCTCCTTCTCTCCGGAATTTCTTCTTCTTTGGACGCATCAAGTAATGCAATGACCGAGCCTTCAGGAAACGCAACTGTTCCCGATGAAACGTAACTATTCTCCTTCTCTCCGGAAAACTTTTCAGTCTTCGGTACTGAAAATACTTCCTCGCAATCTTGCGTGAGAGATGAACCTCAGGGAGTGTTAAGAGATGGGTTAGCATGAGCATGGCTAACTGTCGTAACCAGTCACGTCCTAACAGACTTGGAAAATTTCCTTCAGTGACGTAGTTGCTTCCGTTTACTGTCACACATTTGTATGAGAGATTTTCGTTTTCCGTCCTCAACAATTCCACCTCTTCTCCTGTATATGTTCAAAGCTGGACTGAGTTTTGCTGAGGTGTACGTTTCTCGGTTGGTCCCAATTTGTCTTGCCATGTTTTTTTCACTACATAATATAACGGCGCTACCCGTATCCAGCTCAAAAGTTGTTGGTGCATTGTTCACATGTAGTTCAACGTGATACGATAATTGAACACGGTTGGTAATAAAACTTGCATGAAATACGTACTCTGGAGTCTCTGACCCTGCGGACTGATTTTCAGAATTAGTCACGAACACTGGTGTTGAGCGAAACACTTTCGCGAGGTAGCGACGTTGCTTACACCGATTACACATAGTTTGCGTGTGCCTGAATGCCTCCGGAACGACAACATTTAGAGTGTGGTCTTTGTCCGATTTGCCTTAAATGATGAATCCATCGCTTCTGATTTCACGGTTGGTTGTACAGATTGTAGAAAGTTTGAGTTATTTTCTGCTGCTCCCAATGACACCGGAGTATCGTGGGCTGTTTCCAATGTTAAGATACTATAGGCAAACAAACAGCGTTTGTTACACCAACAACTAAACGACCTATGAGTGAAGCGTTTCAAAAACTTTCGTAGCCACAGTGCTCTGTAAGTTTCCGTAATTCCGCTAAAATTTCGCATTGAATTCTTTTTTCTCTTGTACCATTGTATGGAGCTTTACTCTCTGAGCGATAACCGGAGTTTTAGGATTGCAATGAATGGGAACAAGGTCATCAAAAGTTTTCCTACTTTGTCAATAGTGATCAAGCTGCGTATCGACCAGTATGTCGTTGAACCACTTATCGTAAGAAGTAAATTCATTTTCTGCTTATCATCCGTAATTTCGTCCGCCAGAAAGTGAAAATCCACCCGTTCCAAGTATTGGTTCCCAGGATTTTCAATAGCAGTGAATTCCTCAAGCTTTCAGATAGACATTTGACTAAATGGATTCGTCAGACCCGCGCCAGCTAAAAGTAACTCAACAAACAAGTAATTAAGGACGCGTATTTCCTGTGTACATGCGGCCAAACAGGTCCCCCTTTTAAAGATAAGTATACAAGTCCGGTCACAGGTTTATTTATCACACAACAGTTCTCTGATAGATTGATGAACGGGCAAGCACGCGTACAAATTCTCGGATAAATTCGATCAGCGACTACATTCGGACCTTACACGCTGCTCATAAGGTGGACGAAAACTAAATTCGTGTATAAAGGAGAGCACTTGTCGAAATAAAACTACTCTGTTGTTGACGCGCAGAACTACCTCCACCCCTTACCTCCACTACTCAGGTGATTCATGACTGTTCACGTTCTTGGCTTTTAGCCGACACGCCATTCCCTTGAGGGAGGCCCTCCGATTCGACTGACTTTGGTATTAGCCTGACTTCTGGTTCACCTGAATGTTTGTGTTCTTTTTACAAATACAGACAATCCTAATGACAACTACCGCATTGCTAAATGTGTTCACATACATGTGAACCGGTGCAGTGTTAGTTAACAAAATGGTCCGGATATTCACACTGGAATACTTTTCAAGTAATTGAACCCAATATACTTAACTGATGCTTTATAGCGATGCCAGTCTTTTTATGTTGGACCAGCAACTCTCTAGCCTCTTGCTAACTACCTGGTCCGAAAGTATCCATATGCTTAATCAGATATGTCCAGCTCGATGGCATACCTTGACTGTGAGCTTCGTTATCAGCGTTGCTAAGTCCTTTATACCAGGACCTGCGGTGTCATCGTACCAAATAAACTGTTTCCATTCTCGATAGTATGTCGGCTTATTAATTGGAAATCGCATTTCTTTAGGTACACGAGGCCCAATCTGAAAGCACAACTATCACAGCAGAAGCTCCTGTTCCGACTATCCAGCAGCGATGGACTTTTTTTTGGACCTTGCTTCAGCACTGTAACCTAGATAACTTTGTTAAGATAAATTAGTGCAAAGTCTAGCCCAAGCGAGGTATTTTGGTCCATTCATCGATATCAGTGCTACAGTACTTCAGACAATCGGTGATTCTACACAAGTGAAAAACGCTAGTAGTAGATTTGCATATCATAAGCAATTTGGGAATAGGCAAATTTGAAATTGTGTCCTGAAAATGCGACAATTTTGAAGCACCTGGCGGGGTATGAGCTGCCCATAAAGCACTCCCAAACACTTGTTGACTATTGCCAACCGTGAAATGCAAAAAGAGAAATGTGGCCTCAAAGTCTAAGCACTTCATTATATAGTAAATACAACGACTGATTTTTTGAACAACAATTCCATCACTGCTGACCGGAAAATCTGCAGTGGTTTACACCGAAATGTTGCACAGTGACTACTTGATTTATTTACCTGCGTAAATCATGCAGCGAAAAGCATGAGCTGTTTGTTCTCCAGTACGATCACGTAATGAAAAAGTGTTTCACCAGCCACAGTGCGAGAGTAAAATCTCATGTGCTCACACGTTACCAATAGCTTATCCATTTATTCCTCAAATTCTGTGTAATGCATTCGTAATTTTCTATGCACATTTGGCTAGCAAGTTTCTGGAGTTTTTCAAAATTTCTACTTCAAGCCAATTATTTCTGGAAGTGAATATCGAGCTTTAATGTTGATGACAAAGTTTATTTACGCTTTTAGAAATCAAGCCTTCTAGCTGAAGGACAGTAATAAAAATGTGACTTGAAACACTTTGTGGGCCTCCAAATACGACCTGTCTCACTTCGGTGGATTCCCGCACCGTTCAGGGAAAAATGGATTGAGTTGTGCTGCGCACGTACCTTTTTTTAATGTCCTGGCTTAATTACTTAACCGGTGTCTAGTCTCAGCTATTTTCCATTGTCGTATTGAAGGTAGATAATGATACGGATTTATCGTGTTGTACCGTGAACTATCCAAGAGGGAATGTTGGCACGCCTGAGAGATAGAAATGTTAGCATGTACTATTGTTTAAAAAGTGCATGTGGGCGGTTCACCCATGGTGAGTGTATGTCTCCACGAGGATTTAAACGTGTATGTGGTCGCAGAACTCATCATTTCAATGTATTCTTATTACAAGCTTGTCACGCCAGACAACTTGTGCTTTTATATTATGGAGCTTAAAATATAGCCAAGTATGCCTATCGACCAACAGTACCAGGTCTTGTCATTGTGCAATTTCAGCTGTGTCCGTGTTGTAGCAGGATGCCTAGCTGATACAGAATAAGTTGATATATAACGGTCTGTGTTGTTGAACATGAAAATGCATGCTTTTATCCTTTCCGAACAATGGTACAAGCTGAGCTTAGATGTGAAGATATTTTAAACGAGTCCGCTGTTGAGTAGGAACCTTGGAGACCGGGTGCTCTGAACAAACACCCGTCACCTTTCCGAGATTTCATGAGTTTTTGTCTTCACGAGTAGTGGTCCACTGAAACATACGTGGCCATCGACCGTTGACATGTTAACACCGGTGTACTCAAACCTCAACGGATAACTTCAGAGACACTTTGAGCCCTTGTACGCACGACGTACTGGTGCGGCTTTTATGGTATGTTTCTGCAGTTTGCTCAAAACTGGTGTAGAGTCTAGCTGATGTATGACGTTCAAAAGCAAGATGCAAGCAAACAACACAACCAGGAAGCCCAGGGCAGTCTGGTTTTGGAAGACGGATCGGAACATATGATTGTCTATCATTGTTAGCTTTCAGGTTTGTAATCTGAAGGCACAAACCATCTGGTGTAACAGCGTCACAGCGGATCTTGATCGAAGTGTTCAAATTCCGGAGGAACGTGCAACATTCATATGCATTCAAATCCTAACCGACCCATGTGTCTTTTTTTTACGCACAGCGTACCTAATTTCTGTGCTTTCTCGGAACATACGGGCAAGAGTAAACTCACACGAAAGCCCCAGGAATCTCGTACTTGACGGCAAGAGTTGAGATCTACTTCCGCAATCAGCAGCCCATTATGAATACGATCAAGACCCTAAAAAAGACGAACAACAATGTGTGACTAGGATGATGACGATGATATTAATAGTAATAATGTTGTGATGGGGATGACAATAATAATGAGTATACGCGGCAGAAAATATGTAAAGCCGCCTCTAATGCGAGGTCAGGTTTTGATTTTTTTCAGCGGATAGTAATGAGACCATGACCTCGCTGTTACCAGTTTCTAGTTCTTTAGGCTTACTTGGCGCGTTGATGATCGAGACAACCAGCGAAGTTTAATAGGGCTTGGTAATTAACAAATATTTTGTAATTGCATTAGCAACACGGTAAGCTTGAAATATATGGTACGATATGCACTCGTAGAATAATCTGAAGTGCTCCTTACCAATAGAATACGCGTCCCAAAAGTATAGCACCATCAGCATTGATAGCGTACTTGCAGTCGGGGCTTTGCTGCCACGAAAGCTTAAAGAAAACAGCACGCCGGTACATGGTTGGAAGTAAGGAGAAGAGTGGGGAATTGATACAAAACGGTCTTACGCCCCTAAGTAAGCCGATCAAAATCAACGAGTATGCTTTTGTGAGCAGCGATAAAATAAATCCATTCGTGAATTAGGTCAACGGGAACTACCTCGTATCTTTAGCGAAACTTTTGCAACCCGGGCTCATACCACCCACCTAAAAAGTTACAACAAGCTCGTCACCGGGACCAGATACGTTTCACATACTGTTGGGTTAGCAGTTGCGTTCAAGGAGAACCTTACCTGGACAAGCACCAAGAATTCACAGCAACTAGCTTGATTTTGGAAGCTTTTAATTCATATTAACATGTGGTAGAATGCCTGGTAAAATGCCCAGTATGTCTCCTAATCACTCCAGTCTGGCCAATTTTATTTGCCACTTCAGTGATTCTGGTTGAGGATAATCTACACCCAAAGAGCCCATACTGGAACACAATTTTTCAAAGGCTTGAGGAAGTGTGAGATCCTCAGATCGGTGGTTCTAATTTTCATGGAAATAATATATAATCGTTTTCCAAACTGTCTTGTACAATACGGTGGTATGATCTCAGCGAAGTGTGCTCCTGATAGCAACAATTCAGTAAATTTTAGAAGGAGTATTTAGAGCATACAGCAAATGCAAACTCGGACGCGTATTGAGGTTGGCCAATAACGAGATACTTTCAAGTGCAAACTGAATCACTCGAGCCGGTCTTCTAATATATGTCTTGTTAACCAGGTCTTTTAGTAATCTTCATGTATCAAACCTGGACTATCCTTTTTTAGCAGTTTGTATGCCATCCTGGCCTCGATATGACTGCTCTTCTTCAAAACTGCGGCAAGAAACGCATGTTTTTGAACTTCTCAAACCCACACACTCGTCATTTGGTGATATGCAACCGTTTCATTCATATTGCGAATTTGAATTACGTGTCTCCGGTGCCCTTGAACCACTTACCAGGCTCTATCTGCAGGAGAGGTTCTATCACGAGAATGTCCTCTCTACGGAAACCAAGAGAGCACTGGTTGATTGTTTCCTCAAGCAACTATTATCTCGCTGAGTTTTAAACCACGCTGTTGTGGATTATCTGATGTCCAACAACACTGAAAATGCAAACTTTTCCAAGAATGATGTACCTTGAAACTCAATAAATGGGTTTTCTTGCATGGATTCATCCGACTACTTTTTAGGACCACAATTTAAGCCAAATGCCCCTAAAATGAGGCTTAACAGCAATTTGCCTGGAACACGATAAACCCTTTCGTTGCGATTTGAGTTATATCAGCTGTCCATCACGAATTTTGTGAGAAGCATTACCAACGTCGGAAACACGCATCCTCTGTTGTTAGCCCATGTTTCAACGCTGTTCGCTACAACTCAACCTCCACCTTAGTGTAGCCTTTCTTTTTTTGCCTGCCGACTTTGCTGATTTCCTGACCATGGGCTTGTGAGATCAGTAGAGCAACCGAAGCGTTCTCAAGCTGGGCGACATGTTGGCCATTTTTTGTGCGTATGTCGCTCAAGTGGGAAGCACGGGCACCGTCAGCTTCTTACATGCTTAACTGGTCGCACCGATACAATGAATTAACCACCTAGTGTGCACCCAGCCTGGTCATTACGGTTCAAGGTGAAGCACCATTCATTTAGATCAGTGGTGTAAAGCCTCAAACAGTCGACGATTTTAAAAACAGCAGAATGGTGAAAATTGGGATCTGATTCACGACAAAGCATGGAAGTGACATATTGGGAAACATGAGCCAAAAATACGACCGTTGTTGCATCTTTCCAAAGGCTCTGATAAACAAACTGTCTAAACCGACAGTTCCTACTCCTGGCGTTTCATAATGGCCAACCACCATATATTAACAATAGACGAATGTGGTCATTATCGACCGTGGAAACTCAAGCACCGCGTTATCTGATTTATCAGTGTCTCGATCATGATACCACCAAGCCGCTCAAACGGTCCATATCGGTTGATATCAGTTAGGTATATAACATGCACTCAAAGTCGTGCACTTGCTTACGACTACGCACTTTCTTTATCTTTCAGCAGCACTGATCTAATGTTTTGGGATTGTGCAGAGAAGTTCTTGTGAATTTATTCAAACCAAACAAAACCTACTCTGTGTCTACAAAGAATTCGCTTTACTGAACTCTTTTATAGATTTGGGCAACGAACAAATTATTTAGTATTTTTAGGCGTTAGGCGGTATTTTTACTCCGCTGAAACTCCTGAGATCTTACTGTGGCTTTACTATCTACCGTGGAAACTGCTGGCATTTTCAAATTGACTCCAACCCTATAAAAAACTGTACTCATTGCCACAGCACCCTTTCGTGGCCCAACTACCATGCCACCAGAAGGAGGCACGAGGACTGGGATACTGCAAGGTTGCCTAAGCCTATGCAAAGGAGGTCGAGAGACAGTGGTAAGTTTCGAACCGCGGTAAATTTTCACTCTAACCACCGAACCCTCTCGTCCGCTCTAGTCATTGGTCCGATTAATGCAATCAATGGGCAGTTACAGTAGGAAGCAATCACGCAATCTGGGGAAATGCTGAATAATGCATTAGAAGGCACTGTTCTTTCCATCCTTCTGTATTTTTCCACTCTGATCTATCTGAAAGCCCAATACAAGACTGTTGTGGGCTTAAACCTACTTGGGCTTAGGTTCAGATGGTGCAGAAATCAGTTTCAAAGTGTCTTACCACCTCTCTATATGAAATTGAGGAGTCTAAACGATGAAAATCTTCCGTGCTGAGGATCCGTGGCACTCGCTCAGTTATTAGAACTCCTGTCAAAGTACTGCAGTGACATGCATACACGGGCATCCCCCATCTGCACATAATCTACATTGCGTGAGAATTTTATCCGTCATTCTCAAATTCGTTGGTTCGCTGGCGTGTATATTTGTATCCACCAAAGTGATGGCATAATGAGCTCGAGTTTCACTATTATTAGAGCTCCCAACACAGTTTATCCTTAATCGTGCAGGCGTTTCAGTTCTGGCACTTTAAGCGAGGAGCACGCGTTACCACCACTCTACCAGCGCACGTTGTACACGCCTACGTCATCACGTCCGAACGATACGATTGGTTCATCGGGCGCCCCGAAAAACGACGAGCCAGTAACTGCCCCAGCTTTGTCGATCGATTGACATACCGCTCAAGAATTCCCAGTAAAGCAGAGCCAAAGACCGCTCTAGGCGTTCCGCTTTTAATCTGAGCAAAAGCCGAGTATGTCTATGTACAGGATGTAAATAAGAGCTGAACCACATTATCCCCGCTGTGTGATCAGAACCTTCGTGTAGCCGGGGTGGTTGGCCGAGAAATATGTGCTGCTCCTGGCAGGTCTGGCAACCAAATGCAAGAGATCGTCAGACTCCGGCAAACAAACGATTTCGCCAAGTGACACCTGGTTGGACAGGAGACGTCCATGAATGTTTGTCAATGACCGACTGGCTGTGAAGAAACCGGAGTGATTTGACAAGCTGTTCTGGTGATTTTTGTCATATTGTTGATTGTTTTCTACCTTGCGATGTCAGCACACCAGACACTCCCTGCTACATCATGGCTATTCTGTCGCATTCTTCTATATGAGTGAATGCCGTGTACAGCTTTACTGAGACAGACAAGTCAGCCGTCATTTGTGACATGACCATTCAAAAATATGTGAATACACTCGCATTTGTGTGGTCGTTTAGCCTGTAAATGAAGTGTGTTTGGACAAGGCATTCTACACTTAGACTAGCATCTTTACCTTGTCACACAGAACACAAACGAGAGATTCATCTGGCATTCAGACGAGTCTTCCGTGAACATCAGATAATAGTAGTTTGGTAGTTCCATACAATCTGGGGTTCAAGTAGAACAAAAGTCGATAGAAACAAGATTACCTAACGAACTACAACAAGAACAACACCAGCCACTGGATATTGGAAAGTTTTCACCAACTTTATGGTAGTGTTTTGTTTTCGGTCTACAAATACCCCCGTCATACCATTCTAAACTCTGATCGCCACTACCGCTGTGTCTGAAGTCCAGCGCCTCTCCCTCCATCTCGAATATTCAATCTTGACCGCATAAAGCAGTTGCATCGATTTTCATATGTCTACCACGAAGGCTTCCCGTGGTTGCAGTGCCTTCTGATATAACGTACTGGGCGAGACTGTGAGCCAATGGTCGGTTTTCAGTAGCATTTGCAGTACACAACATACTGCGACATGCCTTGGTGTATGCTGTTGCGCACATATGCTGAGCTCACCTATCAGCCAAATCGATCCCTGTTGAACGAATTCATGGATGGTACAAAAAACAGCTTAGTATAGACCTTTTAATTTGCTGGTCAATGAATAAGTCTTAGTTAGGCAAGATTTTCCCACAGTAGTGTTCCTTCGTGGAAAGTAAATCGGTCACGCTGGGATCCAGAAGGCCCTGCGAGAAGCAGAGTCATTGAGGAGGACAGCAATGGAGAAAATTCCATGCCATTCCGTGCCGTGTCTTACCTAGGGAAATGGTTCTTTGAAGGAGCTGAAGTGCATAAGTTAGATTATTCCATGATCAACTAGTTCATTAAAGGGTGTTCCTGTAAGGAACTTATGGAAATAATCACAGAATCCGAAACCTACTGACACCATTAAACTCCACCAAATCGCAGTAGGGAAGCCAGCAAGCGTCGACGCCAGCCAAAGAGTTAATCTATTCGGCGGCGGTTGATTATGATGAAAGTTCAGGCATTTCATAGAAGCAAGTCTGACGATGATGGGTGTTCACGCAACCCGGAGGAACATGCTTTAACTACCGTGGGGCCTCTTGTAACTTTTACACTCGCTTGTTAACAGTAAACCTGTCGTGTTCTTTGTTGGTGGATCGTTTTTCAACGCTTGGAGCAAGGGAAGCAGCTAATTACAGAGGTTTTCTACGAGGGAAATCAAGCTGACAGTAAAAAAGATAATCTTCCGGCGGAAGGTAGGATGAATTCATTGAATGCAGTGAACTTTGATTGACCCTAAAAGTTTAATTTTCAGCGCCAGACTGGGCGATGTCAAAAAAGAAGACCCACTTTAAGTCATATGGGTGATCACCGCTTTCGTAATTTCTGGTACACTGGTTTCAATTCCTCCGACTGAGAAAAACCTTATCCTTTAGATGGAGGTAAAAGATCATCCGGCACGTTCAACCATTTTATTGGTGAAAGCGGCTTTCCCACTTCCATTTGCAAAATGTTCATATTAAAACCCCATGCTTGTCACTGTTTTAGCATTGCCGTAAGCAACGAAGCTACTGATAACCCTCATGCATTCAGCACCCCAGATGAGTACAGCCTAAAGTCATACGAAATATGGAGTAGCATGCTTCGTTTAGAGTGGCTAGCAAACTGTAAAACCCTAGTAAAATCAAAAGGGAGTGCAACACTCTCAATAAAATACACCTTCCAAAACCTTGCGTGGACGGAATTTGATGATAGTGGCAATTTGACGGTTAAGTGCCGTTTTTAGTAGCGGAGTGCGGCGGGGTAAAAAAACAGCACATTTTATGTCATAGCCTCCTCGCTCGCGTTTTCGGAAAGAAATAATTCCATATCTTCACTCTCAGAAAAAACCTCATACGATATTTTTACTCATTATGGCTTTAAATCGGTTTAGCTACACTTTCTGAACGATATTTATCCGGTGTTCTGAGTTTAACGGACGGCGCAAAGGCACGTCTCTATTGATGGAGCCATTTCAAAGAGGAAGTCCAAAATATGGGATATTGGTAAGCTCCAAGAAATACTCCACGTGTCCAATGTGAAGTATATATGCATTCACGTGATGAGTAAGGCGAAGCGAAATTTGAGTGAGTAGTAGGACAAATGAGTGAATATTGGAGCCTCACTGGTTTTGTGATCTTGCCGTGTTAGTAGGGGTTTTCGGCCAAGAACAGTGTTAGTCACTGATATCAAGAGCTCCTTAATATCATAAAGGAAGGAGATACAGCAATTCTCTTTGTTTTCTGAAGCGAAAATAAGTTATACTTTCTTTGAGATAAGGACATCAGGTGACCACTAACCCAGGTTCGAATTTTCAATTCGAAAAATCTAAGTAAACCCCAGAGTATGTCTCGGGAATTCTCTCTCGAGTATTTTACGTTGGATAAGAAACAAACCCCCTTGAAGCCGAACACAGCAACTTCCATTTTTTCCAATGGATTGGTACTGGTATCCTACTCAACTGAAGCTAAACAACTCATAAAACTGAATGAAATCTTCATTCATGTAGAACATGCCTCAAGATCAAATAGAATTTCATCTTCTAAACCATTGGAAAGTAATGTGCTGCTAGATCATTTAGGTCCAATTACAATTTGCCTTTTAGAATTCTTCACCAAAATAAACCGAACAGTAGCTGTTGGTTTCATATTAGTTACCTCATGTGAGATCTCTAGCGGGGGTCTCAGTTCAGGGAAACCTTGGAGTCAGTATCGATGTCCCCGGACAAACCGGTTCTTAAAGAGTTGTTGAGCACCCCTTGAGGGGAGCTTTCAGCGTGCACAATATGAGGCTGAAAATACGGTTCAGCATTGTACCATAAGTTAAGGAACCCACTTACCGGGGTACGGACGCCATCCGGGCCGGTGATATATGATGATCCGAAAAAGTGACCAAAATCCGTATGTCCCGGCTTCGTGTCACCACTGGTGAATTCATTCGGAAAGGTCTCCTAAAACCGAAGTAGTTATTGTTGATTGGTTGAATGATTAGAACTGCGGAAAAAAATCAGCTACCAGTGCACAAGAAGCAAGTTTCACGTGAGTATCATCGTACAGGTGTCCAAACGTACAAAACATGATTGTCAGATGAATCACCCTAATATTCCATAAACTAGAGAGAAACTATAGAGAAAGAAGACATATGTAATGCTAATGATGGAGGACACAGCATACACAGCCCAAATCCTCCCTTTTTTACTTACTCTAGTGAATGACCCATCGCAACCCTACCAGAGACGTTCACCTTGTCATGGTGGTCCAGCCTGGGTTTTGTGACGATCCAGTAAGTCAAGATAGCCTCAACTTTGTTCCTCAAGTCTCAGTTACTTCTAACAGAGAGCAAAACAGACTACCTAATAATAGTAACCAAATTATAAGTTGGGACAAATTTACCCTTTTCTTTGAGTAAATGCGGTTGAATGTTTGCTGAAGATTACCAGAGTTTACGTAGCTCTTAGAAGGAATGATGATATTGCAGTCAGGTGAAGATTGGCACCAAGAACTACAAATTCCGATCATCCAACAGCTAACCACAACCACTGGCATATCAACCAGGTTAGATGCAAATCTCAACATATCTGCTGTGCACTGTAGCCCCAAGACTAAGACCTATGCAGCACTCTATGTGTCTTTGAGCTGGACCATCCACGGCCTCTTAGGGAGTTGAGGACAAAGTGCTGAGTCAATGGATATGAGTCATAGATTTAATGCCTGTCAGGCCAGTCTACTAAGGCAGAAGCTACGGGCAAGGTCCTTTCACTCCCTTACCGGGGGCCAGACGTTGTAGTCACAGGAAAAGGCCTAAAACAAAATCATTTTCGAACCTCACCAATCAGAGGTTTAATCTGCGTCTTCTTTTGGTCTGACAGTTTGAGTATGAATTGACTCCTATGCCAACATGGCCGATTAAGAGCTGAACATCCGCACTCAGGAGTCTGTTCAACGTAACGTCCACACTAATCATCCTTTCTCATTAAAATCAATGTTTGTCTTATCTCCGCAACAGATATGCGAAGTACAAATACAGGAATGTATGTCAATATGGTCCGGACGAACGCAGCTTTCCCTAATTTCAATCCTCTGTTGTGCGGTGACAGTAAGCGGCGTCGCATGGTCCCCGAAGGGTGCGCATAGCCCAAGATGCTCTACCAGTTTGGATTCCCGGGAACACCAGAACACTCTGATGCACCTGACCTGATACACCTATGACCTGTTTCACGAGTCCAACTATTACGCTTGTTTATATGTTTTAATGGTATCGACTTCGTTTACACTGTATCAACAATCGTTACTGCATGCATAAGTGATATAACCAGGTCTTTCTCTTTTCTATACTCAAACCATGGCACCAATCCCCGCGAGAATTTCATTGTTTTCGGAGTGTTTTTATGTTAGTTAAGGCATATTTGCCACGCCTTCCAACTGTGTTATGGTACACATTGTCAGCTTACTCTCGCGGTGTACTCTCTAATTTCATAGTGACGTTTTTCGTAAGTTTTTAGCATATTAGGAAGCATACGCAAGAGATTTCACTCGACTCCGTAGAAGGAAGTCAGACAAATCTGATGAACTTGGAATGAAATATCCTCCTTCATAGGCATCTTGCAGAGTCTCACACGCAATGGCTATCAGGCTAAAGTGAGGCGTTCGTATTCAGTGAGAAGTATTTCATAGTTATGTTCGACAGTGAAGGTGATATATGACAATTTGTGACATGCCTTTTTTTATCTAGTCAACTCGTGTGCCCATTTTTACTTCAGTGACTGCTGACTGTAATTACCTATCTTCACATACCATTCGTCGTCAGCGTACTGCGCCAGTGCATGTCGTCCATACTTGTGCTTTTGAGTTCTTGTTTCATCCACCGTTGCAATTTCCCCGTCTACACGGTCTCTTTCGAGCAACGTTACGCAATATCCTGGGCTGCGCTGTGACGCATCATTACCTTTGAAACCCCCTTTCCTTACATATAGTTTTCCCATTTCAGACCACCTGTTATCAATTCTTGTGGCCTACTCATCCGGAATATTGGAGTCATTTATTGAGCGGAAGCGTGACTGACTGTCGGTCCCGTTCGTATGCGTTGGGATAGAAGTCAACTGTGCGAGATACCCGGTTCGCCCATTTGTTCCATTTTTATCTCCGGTTTTGGATGACAAACTGGTTGCCTCATACGCCCGCGTGAATAGTTATAAATCCCGGTATAGCATCCAGATATTCCATCAATTAATACTCGATGTCATTCTCCACTTTTGTAAGGTAAGAGACGAGAAGTCTCAAGTGGTCAGAGTGAGAATTTACTGACTGGAAGGTCCGTGGTACGAAACCAACCTCAACTTTCTCTGTCCAGGTTTGGGCAACCTGGCAGTATCCCAGCCCTCAAGCTTCCTTCGGGTAGCATGGCAGCTAGGCACAAAAAGGGTGTTACAACTGAACGTTGTGTTTTTGTTTTTTGTACTGCGCCAAGACTTATGTTCTGCCTATACATCACATATATGATTTCCCGACCAAAAACTGAGATTTGTTGTGCATGGAGCTTCTAGTGTCAGATATCCAAGGAAATACGGAACCCTGTAGGTTAAGGCTCCTTTGAAACCAATACCATTACTGTACCGCAAATGCGTGACTTTTTTCCATTGTTGCTCAGCCTGAGCAGTAGCTCTCTAACAGAAAGTGGAGGTTGCGATCCTAGCGATACAGCTATTTGAAACGGAAGACAACAAAGTGTAAATTCACGTGACACGTTCAGAACAGATCAAGCACCAAACTCACCGTCCCAACGCGGTTGATCGCCACAGTGAAGTAATTGTTAGCAATGGCAGCGCAACGTGCTTCTATGGGCCACAGTGTTTCACTGAAATATGTGAATATGACTCATTGCGCTTGAGGATCATAATAAAGAAGACGATAACAGTAGAAAATAACAGAAGACTTCACAAGCACTTCTCCATACTGAAAATAAAACAGGGATCACTGAACAATACTACAGAAGAGTCAGATAGAATGGATGAGAATCCTGATTAGTACGAAGACTTCGAGAACCTAACCGTAAAAGGTGGTGGTAAGAGAGGCAAAGTGCATAAGCGATGGGTCATTCCCTCGGTGCATCAAATAAGTAGGCTGCACTGCGCAGTCTCCAGGACCATTTGATGCCCAACCAAGCGAAGAGAAAAAGGGAACGAAATGAGACAGAGAATGATACCACTACGCCCACCCATCAATTCAGAAAATCAAACAACTAATGACAAGCCAGGCAACACCAAAAACAAGACGAGTAGACAAAACAAGAAGGGAAATGCCACTAACCTGAGGGTGTCGATTGTGGCGCAGGGATTAAACACGATTTCGGCTCCGTTTAGACCATACATAAGCCAGTTGAGTGGATGATGCCGTCCGTAACAAATGTTCACAGCAATGCGGCCTAGGATTCAAAAGTGTAATTTTCACTAATAGGCTGAAGGAGTGAGGGAGGGTTACGCGAAACAAGTAGAAGTTCATCACTGGGTTGAAAGAAAGCACCAGGAGTTTGGCCGGGGTTGACCGTATAGGCACACAATATACACTGAACAAGAAAGTTGTATTCGTTCTGGTTCTCTATAGATAAGCTGTAATAAATGAGCTCATAGCTGACAATCGTTCCACCTGGCTAAACCGACTGGAAACTTTTCATCTGTTTCTGGGATCCGTCTACAACTTGAGGAAAGAGTCGTTTCACAACCTCACATGTTATTTACTCATTCGCTTGACCCTATGGAGCCAAGTACGTGGATCGCACGGCACGACGAATGTCTGAACATATACGCGGGCACATTTATGCTGTTCGGATACATACTGGTAATGTTGGATCGGGATGTAGCGCTGTCCTGTCAGAAATGCGACTGGTTTACAACCAGGTAGACGAGAACAGCACTTTCAGAATTACCAGTCAAGTACTCAGGACAAGACCTGAGGCTGTGGGAACTCGCCGCCTAGCCCTGGCAGGCGACGTTGTCATTAGGCTCGATAAACCAAGCCAGTGAAGTCGGAAGATTGTGCAGGCTGTTCGGCTGAACTATAGTTCACTCTAGTTCACATCCAAATACCCGTTGTACATACAAACTACGCCTACCCATTCTGACAGTGGTTTATCATACGTCACCACTCACTGTGACAGAAACCGACCAATGTCTTCAGCTATGCTGATGAACCAGTAAGATTCAGGAACGCTGTGCTTTCATTATGTGTACGGTACATAGTTGCTGCTATCATCTGAGCAATTGCTGTGAAACACTTTGGATAAAGGTTGTCCGTTAGGCACAAGTGTTACAACGAAAGCCAGTCCTGAAGCAGTTTCCATGTCCTGTTTGATGACAGGCCATTGTGTCGAATCACGCAAGTTCGAACCGTCTTAGGATTAACCATTTCCACTTTACAAATCATGCTCCCACTTGAAGCCATGAAATAGATAATGGGGTGCGAAATTCTCTTAAGACCAAGAAATTCCCTTCGCTTCAGTTCAACGTAGAACAGTCAGATCTTCAATAAATATTACTTGAATTTTATTGAATATATAATGGAAGCTGAGCTGGTATACATTGATTTTCTAAATGAACGTGCTGCCCAAAGAAAGTGTTCGGAACGCTACCAAGGGCCTTTCAGTGAGCTAATAGGTAACTGAGTCTGAGCTGCACTCACTACACTCGGCGCTCATGCATTCAACCAACGATGCTCCAAGGTCACAGATGTAGCATACTTTACCCCAATTAGCGCATGTTGATGACTAACGATTGAGCTGTACACGGAGCTTGGTAATCTGGTGGCAAAAGTTTCGACGTGAGATCAGCCGTGCATAGTTGAGTAACGGTAACTCACGGTGTGCGTGTTGCTGAATGTCGATCTTGTATGTATATAAATTTGTTGGTGAGTGCTAGGAAGCCCTTGCTGCCTCCAACGGATGTACTACCACCCGAGCTTATGAATGCCACCTGTTGTCCACTACCTAAAATAGTTATTCTGCGCCAGTGTGTTGTTTTTCTGATAACTTAGATTCAATTCGCTTCTGTTTTACTACATTGCATTCATGTGTCTTGCACCGATTTATATTTTATTGCACTTTACCATAAACGTATTTCATATGCACCGGAATTATTGTTGAATAGCCGCAATTCAAGTTCGTAAAGTTCGATTCCTTTGGACCTGTGTTCAGTTAAGTGCCAATTTCGCAATGGTGTCTACTTAACTGAAACATGTTTGTGTACATCTGCGCATGCCTCGTTGTAACTTTCTAGATATTCCAGAGTGTTAGGACTACAAGGCTACTGGAAATGATATCCTGTGACCACCTTGTTATAGACTGTACTGATTACCGGCCGCTGAAAGTCAATCATAACCTACGTCCTTCGTGCGTCGTGTGGGTGGTGCTGTTGGCCGGTGCGGCATTCGCATACAGCGGGTTTTTAGCTGTTCAGCTGTTACCGCCTGATCTGAAAATTATGAACCAACAATGTGACATTCTGATTTCTCTAGAGCGGGGCACCATTCTGTTTACACCCGGGCCTCTCGGGTTTACACCGGATGGTTTACACTCGGCTCTGCACAGAAGGCTTGTGATATTACCTATTCTGTGCGAGGATCACATCCGGCAACGTATGCCAGTCCGCCATACGTTCTGATGACTTTTGTCTGTGATTGATCGTCCATATATTCGGTACCTGACAGTTTATGCTCTCATTATGAACCGCATTATAGTCCAGTCGCACCGATTAAAAGAAAGTACGTATATCTCTGCAGTTCGTGAATGCATAGACTATCCAGGGTCTACGAGATTGCCAAAATGGACATTGACTGCAGTGCAACGAAACAGAGTGATGTATCGTATTTAGACAGACTCCTATGATAAAGCACATAAACAATAACTGATTTAACGCGAAATCTATAAAGCAGTGTCAAGTGAAAGTTACCGAAAACTTTAAGTACCCAGAGAAAAGCGCAAGCCAACAAAACAAGAACGACTGCCTCAATTCACTTTAGAGGGTCAGAGGGTCCCCCCAAGAACATCCGCATTTGAAGACGACGGGGAATAAAAGTTCCTTGGTTGACCAGGATTCACAGATGCAAATAGGGGGGAATTCACAGCTTGTGAAGATACCAGTGAAAGGCAATGTTTTCCGGTGATAATACAAACCGTGACCTGGGCAGTCCGGCGTGCTAAATATTATGTCCAAGGAAAAATCCATGACATCCCATATTACAATGGAGAATGTGTTGTCAAACCAGATGCAAAATTCAATCACCTACATCCGGGCACCTCAGTGCCACTGGTTTTCGCTGCGAATGGCAAAATGGTACTTGGGCATGCAGCAGACAGTTCACACATTGCACAACGAAACCGGTGTCTTTCCGCGCGTATTTTGTGGGCAAACTATTCTGCGAAAAATCTGGGCACAACCACGTGGGATGTAATAGTAAAGCAGGCTCAAGCAGGCTCTTCGTTACCGTGGACGGAATGGTTATGTATATGCCAAGGAAACAGCTCAAAACCTTAACACAACTTCTGTAAGAATTAAACAAAAGCATCAACTTTCAACTATTATTAACAGTAAAAATCACCTCTCCCGAAATAGGCTGAACTTGGTACTCAGTTTTAAGGAGCTTTGTTGAAATCTCGCATCTAGTCAGCGTTTAAGTTGAAATTTTGATATTTGCCTACATAATGAATAACCATAAATTTCTTGATTATTTTTAGATTTCGAATGTTTTGAGACGAACAGAGCGGATAATATAAGGAAAGCAAATAGGAGCAATAACAATAAGCCGAGCTTGGCAGTTGGGTTACAAACGTTTCATCACCATACCACCCAACTGCGCACTGATGACGTCTCCTCGTACGGTGACGAAACGTTTGCAAGCCGATTGCCAAGCTCGGCAAACAGATCAACAGCCACCTGATCAACAACCAACAAACTCACCCGAGCTGCCACTATTTCAACACATTACTAACAATAAGCCATAATTAGACATCGCCAGTAAATCAAGCCAATAGGCCAGAGCTCATCAAATAAATAACGATTGTAAATGCAATTAGACGCAAATGACAGAATTATAAGATGGAAATGAGTGGTTTGCCGATAGAATCCCGTATAAGAACACATAAATAACCGCTACATCCAAAAATCGTCTGTGATTAAAGTAGGACGCCGATACAAAAACGATATCCACTAAGATCTCTTAAATCACCATTACAATTTCTTCAGCCTTGATCATGACATGTGACCACATTATGCAACCACTCACAAAGAAGTAGCAAAGCGAATATTATATTGAATCAGTAAGATATCGTGATCGGATTTGTATGTAATGTACATCGATTGGAGTACGAACCTACCCAAACAGATATGGAACATGGTGGTTGTACAATACACTACAATGTATTTTAAACTGAAGGTTGGGTTTTTACTGCACTACAAGATAGTAAATGTACTCACGGAAGGTTCCCCAGCTTCTCACCACCGCAAGCAGGAGTTGCCGTTTGTGTATATAAAATATACACCGTATTCTATTTTATATAATAACTCTAGTTAATCACATTTTTGTGTTACTGTTTACATAGTTGATGAACTGTATTTTTGATAACCGATAACCGTACTTCAACGTAAAGAAACCATATGACTAGTCAATATCTTGTGGTGTGTAGGGTAACTGCAAAATATTAGGTCTTGTTTCGAGGACTTGAACTATTGGTCGCATTATCTCGGGGAGAGGACTGTCGTTTTTAAAAAGCACGGCACACAATGGTTGGCCTGCGTTCAACAGAGCTCAAACTTTGAAGGGGAATTAAGAAAGACAAGACCATTTGTGCGGAGGATAATCGCATGAATCAATGTATTCCGTAGTGCACAAATTTAGCGGCATTTGGGCTGGAGAGGTGGAACGTACCGATCGAAGTAAATCAAATAGTAAGCGCATTTAGACTCTAAGCCAGTGTCACCCTAGACCTTCGTGTGCGTTTCTTCAGCAAGATAATGTTAAAAGAAGCACACATCAAGAAAGATGACAGATGAAGGTTTAGACAACCCCTTCTATGCGATTTTATTTTGCAGTATACTGAGCTGTTCTTTGCTGAGCAGTTATGCGAAAAGTCTAGCTGATTTCTCACTGATCGTCTCTGAGCTGTGCGCAGTCCAGCATAATGCTCCGCTCGTCTGGGGGGTTTTAATTTACGCCTACCTTCTTGTATATGGTTGTATCGCCTTTATTATTTGCATTTCTCGTTGTCAACTAAACACATTTCATCATGCCGCACCTCTGGTCGACTAAATGGTCTTGTTTTATTTCACGACACAGAGTAATTGTAACTGATATTACCATGCGTCTGGAAGATCATCACGAAAATGAGTGGAACCGTCAAAAGACAGAACACTCCATCGTTTTTCGTTTGATTTCACTGCCATTCCTGCACCTAATTATTCAAATAAAGTTTTCATTCAATATGCGTTTTCTAGTGAACTGTGCAGTTACTTCATGAAATCATGATAAGCGCACGTCTACTATAATCTGCATAATGCTCGATCTCACTCATCGCGTTTCTTCTGTACTGAAAAACAAAACCAAGACCGGAGAAGGTCAGGTCACTTTTTTGATACCGAAAAGTTCGAACCCATGCGGGGCATGGTAAGTTGTGTAGAAAGGACAACAGCACAAGCAATCGAAACACCGTACAACTGTAAAATGACGAGCGGACAAACGTGAAAACGTGAAGTACACGACAAGGGACCCTCAGACGAGTGAGGCAATATGTAAGACTGCGTCCAGCCTAAAGTCGTGTAACACAAAATCGACTATCAAACGCCATCAATTTTTGCATGTTTTTTTCACGAGATATCAGCTACTTCGGAAGAATTGGCTCTTAGGTTTGGACGGTCGGATATCTTCCGCTAGTAGATGCAAGACTTTCACTACTGTAAATAATATCTCACAAGGATGGCAACCTGGCATCCTCAGATTTGGAGGTTGATAACATGACCGCTGCATAGGTATACTTACTTAGAAGATGTATCTCGAGTTTTGATTTGTTTGCTCGAGACCTTTTAAATAATCCCGCTGGCGCTCAACCAACTTTCGAGTTGAACAGTTTTTTATCTTTTCCAAGATTTGTTTGCGGAAGACTTTCTTCACACGCTCACATAATAGCTAAGGATCAGGAGTTACTACAAGTGTAGATCTTTTGTTTTTTTGTACACGTCGTTAGTAGATTACTCTTCCGAAAACATAATAGCATTGTAGATAAAGAATTGAAGACGCCGAACCTCCGTAGTCTCTCGACCAGACACTACACAGTATACACTGGCTATTTAGAAAAATGAATAAGCATGCATGACAGTGCAGCTGGAATGACTTTTCACGGGGAGCGACACGTACATATACACTCGTAATTAGGATAAAGTAGATGTATCGGCTACGATCAAATACCTAGTCTGGTCACTGAAATGGGAAACACGTGCGTATAAAGCAGATCATTCCTAATGTCTGTTACTTATTGAAATGATACACAATCTCAGCAATAACCGGGACTAACTCCTAAGAAAACTCAGTTAAAATTTATTTCGAATTTCGAGTAATACAAGTCATTCGTTTGCATCTTATGGACAGACGAACTATGAAAGTTAACTGAATACACAAGTCCAGGCGCGTAGCAGGTAGGCACGGATTCTACTCACCATATTTTGTCTCAAAGACTGGATGTCCCAGCTGACTTTCCGTATAGTACGTAGACTGAAGAACGAGAACAATAAAGACGTCTCAAAGGAAACCCACCTCGTTAAAATCACCAACTCGAGGTATATGATTTTTTCTAGACTTTCCAAGTACAGTGCCATCCACATTGATGATGACTAGATAGGGGGAACTAACAGATCTGCGTGAAACTATCCGTTACCTGCAGTATTCCAAAGCACGTCACTCACGGAATCACGCTCAAGGATGGGGGAGACGATGACCATCGAGTGTTGTTCTGCGTACTTTAAAAACAGAAATCACGCCGGTTGAGGTACTCACTTTTTGCAGAAAGCGAATAGATGGACCATGTTCTGCAGATTCAGAAAATTCACACCATGGCATGCGTTCCCTTGTACAAAAGGCGAACGGCATAGCTAGTTTATAGATAAATAATCACAACGGATTGACAGCCTCACTCCATGCCTCCTGCAAACATATAATGTTGACCCCACACTGTCCGGCAACATCAAGAAACAATCCCATCTGATGGTGCAAAGCAGCAATCTAGAAGTATATAGGGCGTAACTCGATGTGTCACGCCTCAAATACCTGATCTGCAACAGGACGTGATGTTGGAAGTACCAACTTATTTTGAATTGCTCCAATTCGTATGAGGCGCGGTGACCTTAGCTGCTCTGGTACACTTGGAAATCGATACGCTTTGAGCTTAAGGTCCAGCCTTTCTGCTGTTTGATAAGCATCCTCCGGAATAGATAAAACACTGCGAAATTAAAAGTAAGAAAAAATGCTGAAATTTGGACGTACTCCAGACGTTTTCCGTAAAACAGCCGACAAAATGCTTCCAGACCATAGGAATCTGATTCAAGCGTTTCAGAGAACTGGTCCAATCCGTTTTCTTCCCAAGGATTCATTTTGTTTCTAAAATACAAGAACGTATACTCTCAGCAAAAACATAGACTCCCGGTTTAGTGTAGTGCAATGTGAGTACTGGCACCTTAAACTGAATTGCCTACGGAAAACCCATCTGTCTCTCTTTTTGCAAGATATCTTACTCCTGTCTGCGCCTCTATTGAACTGTTCTAATCATGGTAGAGCTGCTTTAAATAAGCTAAAATAAGCGTGGATAGTCAAGGACCGTAGGTTTCTGGAGACATCCAAAGGTGTTTAACAGATAGTAGAACACGATACTTCCAAATATAATGGCGATTTTGCTCAACACTTATCCAAATGTCCCGCTGACTTCTCACAGGACGAACGACTGTTTAAATATTTGTGTAGTAAAAGCCGCCCAAAAGGCTTGGATGGACAGCGCAGTGCCAGATGGGAGCTGGAGTTGAGCACCGAACAATAATCAAGAAAACAAAAGAAGGAAAAACTGAAGAGTACATCTCCGGCAAGGCCATTTACTGGTTGAACCGTTATGCGTTATAAGAAACCTGTCATAAATGAGACAGAGGTGAGAGCTGTGTTAAAGACGTAATACCAAACGTTTGACTGACATACTGACTGCAGTCACTGAAGGTAAGCATTATATAAATATTCAAAGCCAACCAAATCTTCCACAAAACAGCCTGCTGTTCTTTACAACACCGTAGTATATATACTAGCCTGAATGGTTTCCGTTCTGTGACGTCATATTCTCCCAGTCTTTTTCGACTAAAGACAGCCACCTTACTGTTTTGTTTGAGCTTGAAATTCGCAGTGACTGCAATAGTCATACTATGTAAAACGGAGTCCCTTATGGCACAGCTGTGACAAGCAGTGCTAACCCCTAACACCACAGGGGGGTCTGTAGACCTACGCTTAGGTTTCTACCAAATGCTTAGCGCTCCATTATTTACGAAAGCAATGATATCATCCTTCCTACAGAGAAGAACAAGCTGTAGAAGGTGGATTTTTAGAAACCCTAAACACCGTGACTCGGCTATCACCAGTTAGATAACATGACGAAAACAATTTAGTTCCACAAACAACACGATGTTGCTCTATGCGCGCCGGCATGAAGCACCATCAGTCGGAATTCTATACAAAATCAGGCTAGGCCATTCTTTTGTAGATAAGTGGGACAGATAGTTGAGTCGTTGGCCCATGGTATAGCCCTAGAAAAAGCCTCTAATATTTAATCAGTGGCTTCAGGTAGGTGACTTTAGCCAGTACTGTTGTTCATCCTGAGCCACTGAGAAGCATCCTTCCCCCACGTTTTGTCTATGGATCCTCATCTTCAATGTTTTTCTACTTCGCCAGTAAACAGATAATCCATATTCCTGTCTGCCGCTTAACCAAATTTCCTTTCCTACTCATTAGCCTAACAGGATGACACTTTCTTAGGTCCAGAGGATCCATTTTACCCAAAGTTTTATGTCCACGTTGAATAGACTATTGGAATTTTTTCGCCCAGACACTGCCTGCTCTCAAAGTGCGTATATTTTATTTATCGGAAACGCGCACACAAAGCCATGGATTAATCAGGCAATTTAAGCCACCCAGGACGACTACATCATTTCAACGATTCACCTGCTGAGTCTGTGGTGTTTCCGAGGAAGTGGCTCGTGGTACATACGGGGTATGTGTTGCAATAGAATGGTAGAGCAATTGTGCTTTATTTGGTTGGGTAAAAATGAGTGATTATCTGTCGTACTCTCAAATCTAGCAGTATCAGGTTAAAAGCTTATAGAAAACGTATCAACTGCCTATTTTTAGCATCGCCTTATAGACCAGCTTATACCAAATCATATGTCTTGCTTTCCTTCGGCACTCCTCTGAGCTCCTTCGTCGAGCGAAAAGCTCCAGTATTGTGTACATGAAGAAGCGTAAATCTCAAGGCGGTAGACAGAGACCTGCGGAAGCGTGCCATGGTAATTCTATTAAAATCAAATTTCGGTACACCAACAACGAGCAACGATGTCCCTAACTTTGCTGACCATGCCTTGTTTCTCTGTAGTGCCAGTTCCAAACATGCACACATTCGACGTGAAGCTTGATGGCCAATTTGGATTTTAAAGCTATTACTTGCACATGAAGAGTTATAGTTTGATGCGGGCATTCGCTTTGGAGTATATTATTCACCTTACTATGCGTAATTGTCTGAAAATACGCTTTTCTTCAGGGTTTGAAGTGTTGACCCAAAATACGCTACTTTAATACCACTGGAAAACAACTGCAATTCACATCCGTTTGCCCGAGATGGCCTAAACTTTATACAAAGACAGCCGAAACACCTTTGGTTATTAGGAGTGGCGAATACAGAAAAGTACATAAAAGTAGCTATGTAAGTCTGGTACGAAACTTTATCTCACCTCTATGACACGGGAAAACTAGTACTGGGTACTGTCAAGATTCGGAAGCTCATACTGGTGAACGGTAACTATAAGAAAAAGTGAAATGTGAACTCCTGAAGAGCGTTAATAGGAATAGAGTGCTTACGAGATGAAGAGGGATTAAGTTACCTGAACTCGCAATAACTTATGACTTGATCGGCCAGCGTAAGGATACTGTTGTTCTCGGAATCAGAATGAAATATTCCAGCTTATTGCTCACACATGCGATATTCCGAGAAACAGGCTAAGCACTCTCCCCCTAATAAAAGTCTTGTGCGCCACAGGATGAACTTCCAGTAACTTTATGCACTGAATCTTAAACAAAACTACGGTGTATGTAAGAGGAAGAGCATTCAAAATAAACCGGTTTTTCTAAAAGGGGAAGCATAATGGTCCAACGGTATGCAAAAAAGCATGATAGAGGACTACACTATTTCCATATGCTTATGTACGGCTTCGAGTGGCTCAAATCGAGAACATATAAGCGATGTTTAACCGTTTGGGAAGATGCTTACAGGTACGGTAACACTGGACGAGATATTGTTACCCAACCTAAGAAATACATCGAGGGGATTGTGAATTATAAATAAGCTAAGATAATTATGGCGGTCCTGCAATCACTCAACAAAAAGATAACAGGTGTAACAAGCAGAATATTCTGTCTGGGTTAAAGGAAGACACCATGGGTACACAGATGGAGTGATAAAATTTAATATAAGATTCTATGGCAATAGAAACGTTTCAGTTTCTTGGGGCTCAAAAGTCTGGTAACCTCTGAAAATGCTGTTTCTACGCGACTAGTTCAGGTTAGACAATGACACAACCTGCGACAGAGACGTCTGATCAAGTAGCGCTCAGTAATAACAACTTGGAGAAGATCTAACCTCAAAGTGCTAGTGAGCTAATAATACGATAATGTGCCCATGTGGGCACTCAGTGAGCATTCATCAATGTCTTCTTTAATGTCGTCACATTATGTTCCCTCTGAATGCCTAAATAAAGCCCGTGATAGTAGTCAAAATGTATTTCTCGGTCAAGTCTCATCTTATGTTTAGTGTGAGTACTTATAGGTGCATTGTGATCTGCTCAGGTTGTTTCTTTTTGTGGCTAGTTTTTCAATCACGATCATTCTGACAGTTACTGGGCGCACAGGCACGAGCAGCTAGAGTTCACTCATCCAAAAATCTCTTTGGAATTGGTTTTGTGCTGACTGGTCCTTAACAACCCAGCATTCATCCAAAAGATACCTTCACAATTAAAAACTCAAGCAGTAGAGTTGAGAGCGCTTATTGTGATGACAAACATGCGGTGAGAAGTGGTTACTTTATTAGGATTTGGTTCTTCCTAGAAGTCTACATGCTTTCAGGGCATCAAGCACATCTGGCTGGAGTTTATAGTTGAAGAATAACTGGAAAACATCGCTTTCAAGAGGGCTGCGGAAATCGTGATTACGTTCATTTGCTTCAGAATTAGTGGCTAGTTGTTGAGACATTATTACTTCACGCAATTTCTAATCTTCCGGCAAAAGTCTGTCGTCAAATTCGGTTCCATTACAATGACAAATCAGGTGTTTGATCGTCCATTTTATCAAACAGGGAAGAGAAATGTGAACGTTCTTTTTTTCACTCTTCTACGGTGACTAAAAGAAACGAGGGAAACATATCGGTTTACATAAATGGTTCTAGTCTGGTAGCAGGTATCAGAACAAACCAAGCGACGGACCATCAGGTATTTACAGTGAGAGAAATCGATATAGGAGTAGATGAAAATTGACAAAAGCAAAAGTATCTGTGGGATGCGCAGCGCTTCCCAAATACAAATGGTTCCACGTATTTTGAAAAACGCGCAATTTTACGCATTAAGTGTGGTTGCTGTAAATTTCTTGGTACAAATTTAGATAAAAGTGGTTAATCGAAATGACAGAGACTCTTGTTTGAATGCCAGAGTGGTCGCATTATAAAGAGATACCAACTTAAGGCAAGTATACCCTGCTTGTCGCGGCCAAACTAAACCGGACAGGGTGTTGCTGCTTGCTCTTCAGCGTCAAAACCAAGTGAATTCCCACTTCATAGGCATACTGAAACAAACTCGTTTGCCGCTAGCGTTTGCCTATGGCATCTGAATGGTTACCTTATAAAAAGATGTGCACGAAATCAAAGATCCTGCCGGTGAAGGCCTCAAGGTATTTATCGCAGGTGATTTTAATGCCTCAAACTAACTTTTGGCGCGAAATGACTGGAATCCAGGCCTTGATAAAGAAAAAGGCCAAGTTAGCCCAACCTCATATCTTCCATTCCCATGTTGTCATACGGACGTAAACGTCTTGTAGACTGTGACTTGATTTGGGAGGACCAGCGATATTGTCAGAATTAGGGTACTAAACGTGAGCATTACAAGCCACTGGACAAGATGACACGTTACCAGTAGACCAATAAACGGAAGGGCTTGTAAGTTAAAAACACGAGTATCGTAGTTAAGCTAATGGCTACGGGCACGGATACATCCACTCCTATCACAGTGAAACTTCTTGAAGTTTCTCTTTCAATGATGTTGACAGTTCGATGTATCCGGTCTTTCTGGGTGGCGAGAGTGCC